CATTATATTCATAACATTACAGCTTTGTACTTTGTTCTGTTAACAATTTTTAATCCATGAATTCTCTCTAAATTTCCAAACTCTGTAATAATATTTTTATAAATTTTTGGTATAATTTAAAATATTAACAATATTAATTTTATATAAAGTGCCACCACCAGACAGAAGACAAGCAGCCTATAAAGAAAGGTCAGTTGCCGAGAATGTGTTAGTCTTGGAACACAAAAAATAATAAATGGTGATCCTTTTTGGACAGTTTTGTCTTCAATTTTATTAAAAGTAATTTTCCATTGGACGAACATTTACATTAAAAAATTTAAGTTTGTGACATTAAGTTCCTATGCTATTACATTAAAACTTACAGAGTGTTTTGTTTTCTTCAAGTTAAAGAAATATTTGAGTTACAGACATTTGATCTAGAGAGGTTTTACTACATTTTAAATGCATTTTTAGATATTTTTAATAATTAAACTGAAAACAAAATTATAACAAATTTGTTATGTCAAAAGAAGTTCAAACACAATTAAAGATTGAAAATTATATTTATGTCTATTATTTTTATCCATAAAATAAATAATAACTTCTAAACATGTTTATAAGCATGTTTAGAAAAATTTATTGATAAAATTTTGTAAGAATTAAGACAAATTTTTTCATATACATTGGGCTAAGTTAAAAAGCTCTTTCTTGGTCACATATCTGACAAACAGTCTGTTCCCTTTGCTAAGTCAGTAGACCGGTCCCTGCTACTGTGCATTTTTATAGCTCAGCAAAGATTTGTAGAACTAGATGTACATTGTAATGAAGGCACATACAATTTACTCTCATTGACTGAAAGGCAGTCACACATGAATGAATGTTTGGATAATTTTCAAAGATATATAGAGAAAATGACATTTAAATCGTTTTTGTTCTCCTTCATTAAATGCATTCCTGCTGGACAAATCTCAGTCCCTTTTCTATTATCTCTCTCTGTCTTTCGTCTCTCTAATTCATTTCTATCTTGATATATGTTTTTAACTTTATCTTGTTTTACTTTCAGTGCATAATTAGGAAATTTATCAGCAAAACAATTAACAACATTCAACGATATTTGATCATTTGAGAATTGAAGTAATAAACTTAATGAAAGCATTTATCTTTGGATATATCAAATTATTTTCTTGGGAAAACATTGAAAATGCTGTTTTTTTTAAACTTGTTTTATTAGAATATATACAGGGGGGTCTCAGTTAAACGTTTCTAAGAGGGGTAGGGTGCATCCCAGTGACTCGGAATCATATAGCAATGCAGGGTCGGAAATGCTTTCCTGAAGCGTTGATGTACACAGAAACAGCTAACCTCTGGTGCAGGCTTGCAAAGAAATTATGGCTGGGAATACACCTCATTGGATATCATTCTGCATACAAGTGCTGTGCAGCTGGCCCACTACAATCTGCAGCCCCGTACACCAAATGCATATCGACTAACTTTGTCTTTGTTCAAAATGACGATTTCCTGCAAGAACACTTGGAACTTTTGCACAACGCCGTCTACCGTGTCAGGTAAGCATTTCCGACCCTGCATTGCTATATGATTCCGAGTCGTCGGGATGCACCCTACCCCTCTTAGAAGTTCTGAAATGTTTAACTGAGACACCCTGTATGTGATTATTGTTAAATTATCAAAATTACATAATTGAAGTACATAATGAACAAAGTAAAAAAATATTAATGCATAGATGAAGAGATTTTTAAAATAATTTATCCTTGTTTATTTCATAATATGTTTATAAGGAAACTGAAATTTACTTAATTAATAAATAAAATAAATTTAACATAATTACTATTATTTTTTAAATTATGTATGTACTCGTAGAGTTAATCCATAATTATCTCTGTATTAATATTATGCAAAAATCTTTATATAGAAATTGTTTAATAGTTACTGGCAGTATTGCATTTTAATTAGAAGGTCTTTACCATCTGTTATGACTCAAAAATTAGTAAATGAAAACAATTCATTTGTTTGCTAGTTTAGTTGTCATTAGATTCAGTTCATTTGATGTAATATTCACAAAATCACTCCTTGTTAGTGTCTCACATTACATCATCATTTAGAGAATTAAAACTTCCAAATAATTATATTTAATTTTATATATTATATTTATCAAAGGATGAAATATTTCAATATAATAATACATTGAAAAAAATACAAAGCTGTATGATCATATTTTTTCACATAAGTAAATAGATATGCATAAATCTGCATACAAGTTGTTTTGGAATACAGTGATACCTCAGGATACGAAATTAATCCATTCCGAAACTGAGATCATATCATGAAAATGTCGTAAGGTGAATCATTTTTCTCCCATACGATTACATGTAAAACCAAATAATTTGTTTCAACACAAAAAACACACTCAAATTAAAGCTAAGTAGTACATTAAAAAAAAATAACTATAGTAAGGAAAACACTGAAAAATGTGTTTTGTAGTTGAAATGTATAAATAACATAATAGAATAATAAATGATTTAAAAAAAATGTAGTTTTATTTGCACTTTACCTTTGAGGATAGACCACGGTGGAGGTGTAAACTGATGGCGGAAGAGAGGGAGAAGGGAAATGACACTAAAACTTAACTTGCATAACATAATGTAACAATAACTTGAAAATAACTTAGAAAAGATAAAAATATTAGTGTTGTTTTATATATATGTATATATTTTTTTTAATTTTTATTCACTGCTTTTTGCTTTCTTTCCTTCACTTCCACCAGCACTTTCACTGGATAGAGGTGGCTTGGTAAAATATCTATCCAAAGAGGTTTGGCTTTGCCTACTTTTTAAAATGTTTCTAAAATGACTTAGACAAATGTCATTACTCCGAGCAGCAATACGGCCAGTGTGAACCTTTTCGGGATGTTTCTTTTCAATAAAATCAGTCACTTTCTGATAATGCCTCAAGATTTCCTTTATCGAGCGAGATCCTTCCACGACGAAGCAAACACGCAGACTGAGACCAATGAACAGAAGTGAATAAAAAATGGCGCTGCGAACGAACGTAACGTTGTATGGTGAGTTTTTGTTCGTATCGTGGAGCAAAAATATGTTCGAATTTCATGTCTGAAAATTTCGTATGCTGGGGCGTTCGTATCCTGAGGTACCACTGTAATTTAATTAGATTTTTCTTGCATAATTTAAAGATTTTTTTGGAGATATTTATTATTTCCGAGCTGTAGATTTAGATAATTAATATGCAATGCAGCTAAATGTAAAGAATACAATTCTGTTGATACTTCATACAATAGACTATTGGGAGAAGCAATAGTATAATAATGATAAGAGACAAAACAGTTTATTATGATAAATACGAAGAAGGAAAAACCTAAATTCCAAGCAAGGATGTAAATATGATACTCTAGCTGTAACGTGTTACCTAGTGAATTAATAGTTACAACTCAAGTTCTCTATTGCTCTTCTGATAGGTATCTTAGAAGTGAATTTGATCTAATGATTTCAAATTTTAAAAAGTGATTAATGAAGCTTCTTTATTTAAGTTAAGAAACTTATTTTTATTGCATATTTAATACAAACAGAACAGAATTGTAACTCAGTTATAACCAAAAATTTAACTTGTTACCATGTTAGATATTTATCTTTATTATAAAATGTTTTCTTTGAAAATTGACTTATATATTAATCGATTTTATTCTTTAGTTAAATGCTTTTCAGTTCCATAATACTTGTGTTTTAAAGAAACTTTTTATAATTATTATTAAATGAAATTTAACATAGAATACAATTGAGATTGAAAATAATTACACTTCTGAGTATTATATTGAACTTATTGGGGAAGAAAACAAAAAATGTTAAACTCTGACAGTAAAAAAAAAAAAAAAATACAGTCGAAGATTAAACAAGTATTTTTGCCTTTATTAAGTGACGTTTCTTCGGATCACTAGACCATTTAAAGAACATTTTTTGAATAAATAATTAAAAGGAACTCATCAGAAATTAGAACATGCTAAAAATAAAGAAGATTAATTAGTTAATTAAGTAAATAAAAAATTGCATTGGATTGATTTTCTTTTAGAGACGGAATGATTACAGAAAAAACTTGATCTAAAATTTTACGATTAATGGTATTTCTTAAATTAAGAAATCCAATTAAATAGTAGGATAAATACTTCAAAAGTCAACTTTTATCTTTATGTAACTTCAGGTCATTAGAACAACAGGCTATTTTCCTAAAAAATGAACTTTAGAAGTATTTTTAATCATAAAAGTATTTTGTGAGGCATGAAGATGTTTTAATGTTGTCTAATTCATATATATACTATTGGTTGACCTTTTGATAAGAATTTTTAAAGATTCGAACGTGAGAAAAGAAATTTGTTCAACTTTATATGTTATTTTAGTTTTGTCCATAATGGAGAAAAACTTTACTCCGAGGGTTTTTGTGCTAATTTTGATAAACTTTTTATAGATGTAATATACTCTTTACACTTCTCTGATCTTATTTTTTTTAGTATCCTTTTTGTAGCTTTGATATAAAGATGTAATATCATTTTTATGTGACAGAACATTTCACATCATCAACAATTTTTCCTCGGTTCAGAGATCTTTATTGCAAAATTTTTATCAAGAGATAAAAATCCCTGGCCAAGGAAGAGTTGCAATGATTATATAAGGTTCAATTACATATAGTTTCACATTAAACTGTAACAGAACAGAAAAGAGGATACTAAAAGCAAAACTTAAGCTTTAAAAATATATTACATCTGGAAAAAGTTTATTGAAACTACAACAAGGCAAAATACCTTGAGAAGGTTTCCTCCATTATGAGATAAATCACATTATAATTTAATGTTTACAGAAGATAATTAAAATTAAAAGTTGATATCAAGTTTTTCTCATAAAAATTTTAAATTATTTACATGCGTTAATGCTCGGAATTTACTGTTTAATATGTAATCAGGTGTAATTTGATTAACATTTTTGTTTGTATTTTGTAGGTGGACTTGCTAATTACACTCCTACAATGATAAGTTCATCAGAAACATTCCATTTAGGAGTGACTAGACCTGTTCATAGAGATTCTGAAACAACTGTAAAACCAGAAAATGAGTTAACGGAGACCACAGAAGATGTATTAAAACCAGCAGATCCAGAAGACATGTCCTCTTGGTCTTCATCTTCTACGACATCGGATCTTCTCTTTTAAGCAGTGATGGTAAAGATCCAAATCAGTATTAGTTTTAAAATTAATTAATGTGTTTTAATTAATATTAACATAATAAGCATTAGACTACCTTAAAAATCTCTTAATCCTCAGCATGAATTCTAACTGTTTTAGACATCATATGATTTTTAAATTCATTTCCAGCCTAATTATATAATTTAAATTAGTAAAATATAATTGGATTATGTTTGTGAGCTATAACACATTTATATCACCTGTAGTACATCTGTTTCTGGTATTTCACACGTCATGCAGTACAGATGACATGCGATTTACATCATTTATAATATAGAAATAATTTACTAATTCCAATATTTATTATGTGTAAATTTTAGGTAGCAAACCCATTTAAAACTTTATATATATATATATATATTTTTTTTTATTAATATTAATTGCATGAAAACATGAAAAATAAAGTATAAAAATGATCTGCAACTTTACAGGTAATGTCTCAGTCATGCTACAGCTATTTTATATTTAATGACACTTTAATATTTTTGATGTAACTTTACTCAATTAGCATCATTACAATTAAAACTTCTACTTGAATTTAATAGTAAACCTGACATCCTAGTTTGGCAAGTTTGATTCAGTCCAAATTCTCCTCATTTATCACAGAAATACAAATTAGTTCAGGAGTAGATCTGTGAGAGGCTGTAGGAACTTATGCTTTTCTCATTGACACAAGAAAAATTAAAATTTATATGTTTGAACTTCAAAATGTTGTTTTTTAAAAACATTTATGATGGCAAATGTGATTTATTAGACTGTCTGCAATATTTGCAAACCTTCTACTAGATATATAAGTCCATATATCCAATTTTCTGCCAGTACAGTGGGAGAACATGATTTGTTGAGAATATGTCTCATTTGGGAGCAGTCTTTCCATTGGTCTTAGCATAGGCAAATAGTCGGGAAATCCCTGGAGAGGCTTTACTAGATCCTTGGTTTTCAAATCTATGGCTAATCCTGATACTACAAAGCACTACATTGTATAGTTTGTCTACAAAGTCATTATTGATGCTGGTGCATTTGATAGACTCAATGTATTCAAGCAGCACCTAGTTATATATTTCTCTTTTTAGGAGTACCAGCATATGGCTTTTATCAGCCTTAACTGCCACTATATTATCTCTTTTTATCCACTGTTTACTAGCAGTTAATATAGCCCAGAATTTATTCTTAATATTGTGTTGTAGTGTTTCTGCACACTAATTATGTTTCTTCCCTTCCTTTTGAGAATTTTTTTTTCCCCTCCTCTTGTCTTCCCTTTTGATTACTTGGTAACTCTATTATTCTATCTTTCCATTTTGTTTTGTATGTATCACCTTTTCAGCAATTCAGTGTGAGGACTGACAACTGGATTGGCTGGAGTGAGCCACATGTTTAGGGGAGGGATTGCCCTTGGAAGGATATAAAAATCAGTGAGGATGAGAGAGAAGGATCTTTTTTTTTATATATATATATTTTGTCCACCACCTTGATCTTGGATATGTTTCAATTGACTTGCCAGTAGGAGAAGGGACAAGAATCAGGACTAAAGAGATGATCTGAAGAATGTGCCAGATTTTCACGAGGAACTCAAAGTGGCTCAATCTGTTCCCATCGAAATGTGCAGAATACATAAATTCAAGAACTTATCGCAGATGTGTACACTAACCAGACGTGCTGTTTGAGGATACTATTTTTTGTTCAAGTGAGTGAAACCAAGGTAGTCCTAACAAGTGATGTTTATTCCATGGATTTGGCTCCCCATTTTCTTCCTTTTTCCCCATTAACTTACTCTTCTATTCTCATTAAAGTAAAGAAAAAAATGCATGCATACTCTGAAATTAGTTTGTAAGAAAAACCTGTATTGTCGGTGACAAAGCATGTGTTCAAATAGTTAGATCCTATGCATTAGTGAACCTAATAATCAGAATGTAATTATCAAAAATTGTAATAATTAGATCAAATTGATTAGTAGAGTTATGAAAAACCACTTGAGAATTTCAGAGCTCTGTGATTAGTAGTTATTGTTTAAGCTGACCATCTTTTATTACGTTAGTTTCTTACAACCATATGTTGCAGGATATCACAGTATTGATCTTTTCACTTAAAATAGTCTTTGTTAATTTTATCCTTATCCATTATTAGTTTTTTAGTTTCTGGTATGACTTTACATATATTTTTTGGCCACAGAGCAAACATATGGCCTCATTTCACTGTTTTCTTTAACACTTTAGTGAGTTGATGTTATCCTAGCATATAAAGTTTTGTCAATTAACAAATCATCTTTCTACTTCTTGCTTCATCAAATTCTCTCAAGTAGATGGATCTGTCTGAAAGAAGGTCAAGTTGTATTCATTTTAAAGATCGTGGCATCATTTCCACTGCCTAGAAAACCCTCTTTGAATTATTTTCACATTCACTTAGTGTATTTAGTGTTGTGCTTTATTTTGTTCTGCATCATTGTTCACGTGTTCTTCATCTCTTTATTGGAATATATTAAGGTCAGGATATTTCAAAACAATTCAAAAGGGTGGGGCATTCAAATGGATATATTCAGTGAAATTATTCATTTTTATAGTTTAAGTTTGAACTTTCAAAATAATATCACTGGCTATATATGGATCAATGGAAAGTTGAATACCTGTCCTAGCATATCAGTTGTGTGTGTTTAGTTGTGCATCTTGAAAAAATTTCACTAATGATGGCCTTAAAAAAGGCCTAAAACATTTTAAGGTTAACATATATCAACTGAAGATAAATGTTATTGCTGCTTTGATTGATTGCCTTCAGTTTGGATATAATAAAATATATTTAATGATTCAAAGACACTAAAGTGTTCTGTGTTTAATATTTAAGGGAAAGATCTATTTATGAGTACAGTAATACCCCGAACTTACGCAATAGGTGGGACCGAGCGATAACCGCATAAGTTGAATTCGCGTAAGTCGGGATATAATTTCGCAATTTGTGTAAAATCCAAGTCAGATGTATGTAAGCTAATAAATGTTCTCGTTAATCTTATCTTGTCTTTTGATTTGTTCACGGTTACAAGAAATCACCACATAGAGTCTTTCAAGTCTCCATAGGTATAACAAACACAGAAATAAATAACACAAAATAAATTGTAGCTATGTGTCAATTCCGCACAACACGTCCAAACATGTAAGCCAAACAATAGTGTAGGGGGAGTGAGTAATCAAGAGTTGCGTGGCGCTCAAACAAAAGACGAATCAACGAGATTTGAAAATCGCATAAGTTGGGGTAGTGTAAGTCGAGGTATTACTGTATTTATTGACACTTTACAAGGGTGGTGTTATATCAAGGTTTTCTTTAACAATTTGCAAAAGAGATTCTGTAACAATTTGAAAATTGTTTAATTTTCTAATTTAAACAGCAATTCTTAGGAATTTTCTTTTCTAATAATGTTGAATTATAAGTTAACTGATGAAGCTTAAATTAATGAACAAAATTATTTAAACAATTTTTAATTTAATTAAACTTTATGCTTGTTTAATGTTATTTTTATGTTATGCATAAACTTCACTTACATGCTATATGCAGGATATTTCTGAATTTTATTATACAGTATCTTAAAAGAATTGCTATTTAGTAAAATCCTATTATTTAACAAAGCTCATCATTGATTAATTGATTGATTTTTTTATTATTAAAAAAATTGATTTAATGATGATAATCTGAAAAACAATTGGCATTCTAAATGTATATAAATTTTAAAAATTTAATTAAATTTTTTCTTAGTTAAATTGATAAAAACCAATGTTAAGTTAATTAAAATCAATAATAACTCTAGAATGAATAACGATTATATAAAGTTGTTACTTGCTACCTTATATTTAAAGGAATGAAATGAATAAATTTATGCAAGATCATCATTTAATAATAAGCAACAATTACAAGTTATGATGAATTCATTATAAAACTTAGAATGTTGACTCATTGTGATCTTGCATATAATAACGACTTCCTACATCCCGAAAAAATTAATTTTTGCCAATCAAAAATAGTCTATAAACAACACAAATAACTGGAAATCTTCAATATATTTAATGAACTTAAAAATGCAATCAATAAATCTTTAAGTATAGATTTAGTTCTAATTTTTTATGATAGATATCATGGTCACTTAGGGAATGAAGAAAGTACTTTAGAAGCTTGTGGCAAAGCTTGTATTGGTGGAGGAAGTGCCAAGAGAATAAAATGTACTAATTAAAGCCAAATTATTGGGCTACTATCCTCATTAATTAATAAATTGGGTTTTTGGAGTTGTTGTTGCATAGCATGTACTCATACTAATGAACCAAATCTGAATTTTGCATACTCACTAAGTATGTTACTATTATAAACATCAACTCACAGCCCGAGTAGATAATAACAACACCAAACGATCGCCTAATTATCGGGCTATAATATGGCTATTTTAAATGATTGGAACTAAGTAATTTGACATTAGAGGTAGGCGTTAGGCGCCATCTCTTAATTAGATTAATAATTAAATAAATAAATTTAGAACATTCTGGAATAAAAGAACTGGCAAGCGCACCGCACGGCAAGCGGAGGTTGCGGGTTCAAGCCCCGTCCCGGGCCAGTTCTTTTATTCCAGAATGTTCTAAATTTATTTATTTAATTATTAATCTAATTAAGAGATGGCGCCTAACGCCTACCTCTAATGTCAAATTACTTAGTTCCAATCATTTAAAATTGCCATATTATAGCCCGATAATTAGGCGATCGTTTGGTGTTGTTATGTTACTATTAGCCTGGTTATTGTGAAGATATTGTTTTGGCATACCCAGTCTGATAATACTCTGTTTAACAGTTAAAAACAAGATTGAACTCTGCATGACTATTTACCCTAAACTAGTAGTTTTTGACTTTACTTTGAAGCCATAATTCAATGTGTTTTCTCCTTTGGTATATGGAACACATCTGGCATAATAACTTCAATAATTTATTTAAAGATTAATCAAGATTGGATATCATATGACACTTTTAGAAGCTTTTTATGACATTCTAAAATGACCCTAAAATTAGTTTAAAATCATTGTTCTAAACTAAGCAATTTTATAATGTCTATGGATGTCATTTCACCTGGACTAGTTAGATCATACATTTTAGGGACAGCACGAATGGCTGATCTGGAAGTACACAACTGTATTGTGAGTGGTTCAAAACATCATGTTTGCCATCGTAAATGTTTTTAAAAACATTGTGAAGTTCAAACAAATAAATTTCAAATTTTTTTGCCAATGAGGAAGACTCAAGTTTTCCTGTAGCCCTCCCCTTGTATCTGCCACTGGGTAGCATTAGTAGTTATGAATCAATTATGGTGAAATGTAAATGAAACAAATTACATGTAATTTAATTAGTAATAAATTTAACTTAAAAGACAATTCATAAAAGATAAGTAACACTATGGATAGCCTGCCATTCTAAGAACCATAAATTGTTCACATTGGTTTCTCAGGAGTTAGTTTAACCTAATATGTTGCACCCCATCCTTCATCAACTTGCCCATTATAGACTAGGCCAGGGATGGTGAACCTTTTTGTGTTTGCGTGTCATATTGTAAGCATACTTAGCTTTAAAGATGTTTATGCGTGCCAAAATTTCAGACTTCGAATAACGATATTTAAAGAAATTAAACGAATACGCTTTAATTAGAATAAATGTAAAAAAGCTTATTGAAAAAGGGATGATCGGGTGATAAACCGAAAAGATGATTGAAAAAGACAGAAATCGTATGATACATTACGTGCCATAGGTTTGCCACCCCTGGACTAGGCCGTGCCAAAGATAGGCATGGAAAAAGTTCTTAGTTTCTACAAGGAAATAACTTTTAAAAAAAAGTGCTCACAAAATGTTCCTTGCAATAGCAATAAATATGAAAAGTGAGAAGATATTAATTCATTTCTTTGTTAATTATTAATATTTTTGTTATTTATAAAATTTAAATTGAATATGTTTATTAAAACTAATAGCTTAACAACATGGCTAAATGGAAAGAGCTTATTACGTTGGGACAATTTGAATATGTTTAATACAGGATGATTTTCAATCACCCTGTATCAAACACAGGTTAAACACACACATGTTAGGAATCAATGTACAAAAATAGAGGGTAGCAAAAATAGTTTATAATATGATTATTAAGAAAAGTGAAATCATGTTATTACAACTTTTAAACAAACTAATATTTTCGCATGCATGACTTTTTCATTGTTGTATAATCAGAAATTGGATTTTGTAAAAATGAATTTAACAGTTAATAATAATACAGTAAGGTCTTGTTTTAAACAGATTTGAGTTTTAAAAGGTGAATGGTTAGGTTAACTCATTTCTAGTGCAGCTGAATGTGACTTATCAGCAATCTGTGCTTTTTTGGCTTCCAACATTCCAAAGATGGAGAACTATGGAATGCTACTCACTATGATTCAAGTATACTTTTCTCAAGCACAGAGTATGTCCTTGATACAGTGTAGTAAAGTTTTGCTCTAAATATTCAGAAACATGTTATTTATTATAATAAAAACACAAGTGAAACATTTTAGCATTTTTCTGTTAATTGTAAATAGATGCATGTCTAGGTAATCTCGGACTACTCGGGGTGGAGCACAAATTTACACAGAATTTTATTTACACTATATCTGCTAACATGCAACCATTGTTTAAAGCAAGACCATACTGTAATTTGATAGTTATTTTCTTTAAATCAGTGTTTTTCAACCTTCTTGAATACACGACCCCTTTACAAGTTAAAAAATTCTGGCGATCCCCCAGGGCCATGTTAAAACTATATCAGTGATTTTAAAAACTGTGTATTTAATTTTCTTTCTTTAAATATCAATCGAAAAACCAATTGTACTGTAAAATAAACAGGCACAGCCTTCTCACTGAAATTCTAGTTTTTTTTTTTTTATTGTAGTGTAGGACCTACAAACACTTGTCTTTTTCTTTCACCCGTGATCCCCTGTGTAAGACCCACAGGTTGAAAAACACGGCTTTAAATCATACTAAACTGCTATATAAAAATTGCAAATAATCACCAAGAAAACCTTTTAGCTGCAAGGAAATGACCGAAAACTTTTGCCTTAATTTAATGTTGGTTAATTTTCTTGCTGCTGAAAAGTTTTCATAGTTATTTTCAGTTGTATATGATAAGATATTATATTAATTTTTTAAAACTATAAAATTTAACAATAATGATTTTTTTATTTTATTTTAGGAATCATATTTTGAGCTGAAGTTACTTTTATTTGAGAAAATTTGGTTGAATTTGTTAAGAGTCTGAACTGAATTTACGATTTTAACATCAGAAGAACAGAAGCAATGTCGATCTATTGTGGCAAATGAAATGAGATGTTGATCGATTGCATTGAATGAAACAAGCAAACTAGAATGGTTAGCAGAATCTAATTTAAACTTTAATATGAAATTGTTCCATTACGAATCCGACAGTCGCCAAACCCACCCGAGAAGAAACGATCGGAGCAAGATTCCATCTTCTGTCCGACTTCATTATTATGCAAATTGTTCTCACTGCCAAAAGTAGGAATCCGAGTTTGATCGTGGACGATTCGTTCTGTCGAGTGAGGTTTGTTAAATGTAAAAGCATCTAAGTTTGAATGTTGATTATTATCTTTGTTCCAATTTGAGTTAAATTACATTTTGCTCAGGAGGTTATGAACCTTATTTTGCAAGTGTTAAAATAACAGTTCTGTTAATCCTTTGGTAATGCTGTCGAGTAAATTTAAAAGCTAAAAAGTTCTCAGAAAAATGTTTGTACGAAAATAGGTGTGTATATTTGTATAGAATATTAGTCAATTCAGCTTCGTATTTATATATCAGATATGCTGCACGTATGTTTACGATATTGATTTTTAAGTGAGAATGTGCTCTGGTATACATTATCTAAAAACACTTTAACTTAAATTATTAAGATCTTTCCACAAAAAAAATGGTGCATATGCATTTATATTCGACGTTCGATTAACATTTTGTTACGTGTATCACTAGTAGAAAACAAAGTATTACGACTTAGACGTGAATGGATTAATTGGATTTGAATTGTGTAATGTAAATTTTGCAATTGCAAGAAAAATAGAACTTGTATACTTAAAGAAATTATGCATATAAGATTATAAATATATACTTATAGATGGACTAAAGCCATTTGTTGATTGCTAGAGTAGTCCAACGTATATCTTAGCAAAGGAATCACTTGTTTTTTTTTTTACCAACTTCTTTGTACTCGTTCTACAATTTGACTTTTGTACCACTCAAATTTAGAATTTTTACATTTTTCAAGAATCAAATAGAACTTTTTTACATTCCCAGAATAATTAGTATAGTTTTTGGACCAAACCGAGAAATAAACTTCTTTATTTTGATCAAGATTTACACACACGGTTTTGAAAGAATTTCATATAAAATGCAACTTTTGTCTCAAGTTTTATAAACTATTTTTAGGTCACATTATTAATCCGTAACTTATTATGTGGCACAGAAAACATTTACATTTTCTGACGATCTGCCCATTGCCCTTACACATACATATCTAACAGTGATAGAAGAGTATATTTGCATGCGTACTCCGTATCGTGTAACCGTGGTGTCGTGCTGAAAATGTGATCTGACGTCGTACGATAGTATTTCATTCGAAGCAGTGTCGGTGTTTAAGTAATATTGATGGCATAGTCTCGTACAAATATATTAACAGATGATAATTCCTTTTTTTTTTTTTTTTTTCTTTGTGGACCATCTGACCGGAGCAGAACGACATACTCTTTAACAATTTTTGTATATAATTTATAACAATAATTACTTTTCTTTATATGAAATAACTTGAAACAGTTTCCTCGAAGCATGTGGTAACAATTACCATTGTTTACAATTTAGATGTATTTTTTAAATTGTGCCAGATGGCTTGTAAAATTTCAGTGATAATAAAATTTGTTCTAGTGATAAATCATGTTTGTATATTTATTGTTTAATCATTAAATATATCAAAAATCATTTAGACTAAGCTATTAATTTATTTTGTTTATAAAAACATTGATAACAATGATATAGTAAATTATTATTTTATATAATAGGGAGTCAAAAGTTTTCATACATGAGCAGAGAGCTCACTTTATTATGTAGTCATTTGCAGTTCACAGATTATGCTCTACGAGCATGCAGTTTAACTCTAAACACGAAATCCATGATAAAGAAAGTCATTTGACTGGTTTTGCTATATAAATTCTCCTTGCAACCCGAAGGGTAAAATTAATTTCATCTCTAGGTACTGTACGTAGAAGTTAAAAGTTAACTGAACTGAATGTGTATACTGGAGTGTAAGATGTCCCATTAATACATTTGGTGTTATGCATGAAACAAAGCATCACAGATGGTTTGCATTTCACAGCTTTATGATACATTGCGATCTTTAAACACTCATCTCAAGACAAAGGCATATCAAACCTACAGTATCAGTTGCAAGAAACTTACACAAATATAACTTCCCTTGTATGTTTCATATAACATGAGCACCATGTATGTAGAATGTTTACAATTATGAATATAATTAATTAAACATTTTGTATTTATGAAAAATCAACACAAATTTGAATTGAATATTAGTTTTGTTGTGTAAGTTACAAGTTACTATAACATAAGATGCTATATGTTTGATCAAAGTCAAAATTTTGTCAGCCAGTAGACTTCTCGATAAAGTATTCGCCTACTACCATGGGATTCCGGGATCGAATTCAATTGAGACTCTTGTAATTTATCATGGATGGTACAGAACAGCCAATGATACATGCAGCCAGACAGCATCTTTGAATTTGTTTATATTTTATTGAACATAAGTTAGAATCAGATTAGAGATTTTTGCTCGAATCTACCGATTTTAACTTTGATCAGTATGGACGGTTAACTCAGCATAGCTTGCTGCACGTCACAGGTAACGACCTAACTCGAATTACCACAAAAACATTTGGGACTTAGATTAGATTCGAACTCTAATCCCTTGAAACGGTAAGAATGTGTTTATCGTGCAACCGTCAACCGATCTACATAGCATTTCCCGAGAAAGCAGCTTCATCAAAAAACAGTTCAACAACTTCCTCTTTAGCCACTGCAACATTTGGAAGCATTGAAAATAAAATTTAAGATGGCCATCCACAAAGTATTTGTAAAATTTTGTAACTTCCTAAGTAATACTTCACGTTATTGTATGCCTCCGCTATTAAAATATTTATAATACAGTAGAGAATCTATTATCCGAAACAATCCGGGACTGGGGTTGTTTGGATAACTGATCATTTATATTAAACAAAACTATACTGTATATATTTTGTATCACGTCTTACAAATACATAAAATAGTACATTAAAGTATGACTACAGTTTACATTAGCAGGGAGGAGGAGCGTGCTACAGCACTAGAGGAAATTTGAATTTGCCAATTGGAATGCTTTTGGTTGATTGATATTCGGATAATCGATGCTCTACTGTAGTTGCAATTTTGTGTCATTTCTCAGTAAATATTTCAATTTATACAAAAGTAGCATTTACAAATGGCAAAACAATAAGACCATTTCTGCAAAAGTAGAACTCAAAATACTTTTGGCAGCTAAAGCACCCTAAATGTCAAACACAGAATGTTAATCATTTCCATCAAACTTTAAATTTTATCAGAAAAGCAATATAATATAATCATTCCTCAATTTGTAATTATTACAAATGAATGAATCCTGTTTGATTGATTTGATCCGAGACATATAAGGCTGTATAACTGACCATAATTATGGGATTTATAGATTGGGTTTGAATGCAATACATGTATATTTATATCTTACCACACATTGGCAAATTTCTTTTTGCTGATTCTGATTGTCTGTGAGCAAGATTTGTCCTCCTATAAGTTTAATAGATTACAAATATTTTAACACAACAGTTTATACAGTATTAATCATTGTTAAATGTAAGTGGTCTTTGACTCAAAGAACAATTTTCTATTATAAATAAACACATAGTTTGTGCATCCTTGGCACTTCATGATTGTAAATGATAGATAATTTTAAAGTCATACCACGTATATTAATTTTTATCAACACTAAAAAATGAAGTGTTGAAATTCCATATGTTTTGTTGAGAAACTATCAAAATTTATCATCACATATGTTTAGTTTGGATGCTGGGTACCATCTAGTGAGAATACCGTAAACTATATATTTACATTAATCTAATAATTATCTCGATAGCCAGTCGGTCGAGACAAGAGGTTCATCAAACTGCAACAGAGTTGAGTAATCGAGGTCACATCAAAAAAAGACTAATTAGCAGAATGCATTTTGGTCCTCAGTGGACCCTCCACAATACATAGATACCTATAATAGTTGTAATTAAGCTACATGTTATATATAGGTTATTATTACATAAAAATTATTAACAAATGGAAAAAACAAACCTGCAATATTTAACACAATAGTAACATGTTACATGGTTAAACCGTAACTGTTTGTACAGCCATCTGATTACATTTCTACTTGCAGTTCAACAGATATACCTTGTGCCTTGTGTTACTGTGTTAAATGAGTCAACAGTGAGTTCCCTTGACAAGATTCACTCTCCTTCCCAAATTGTCATTATTTCTATTTTCATTAACATTCATAATTTTAAAATATTCATAATATTGTCTTTCAATAGGTTTTGTTTCTGTTTTTAATATTTGTATTGTTTTTTACAATTTTGCATCCTTTGGAATTGCAGTGCCTGGCTACTGCCGAAACTAACAATTATGTTTAATTGCTCTTGCACATTCACCAATAGGTACTGTACACCTAATGGACAGACAGTTTTGCCAACAAACGACCAGGTTTACAACTGCAACTACATACTTTTTTAAAAATTCATAATTCATTACCTATCAACAGTAAATAAATATGTAAACCAACTGTTTTAATTCTGGACTAACAATGGTAAAAAAGAAAAATTAAAAAAATGTTTATGTGGAATATTTTTGAACAGATGTCAAACTATCATAATAGCGAGGTTGAGGCCGAAGTTTTAAATGAGAAAACGTGTACATCGGACATTCAGCGCCGCTTTCCTGTAAACCTAGAAGTTTGACAATGGCATTTGGAATGTCAAGCATGATTCCACTGATTTCCAAACACCATTGTCAAACTTCTAGGCTTACAGGAAAGCGGCACTGAATGTCCGATGCACACATTTTTGCACTTAAAACTTCGGCCGCAACCTAGCTATTATTATTATTAATGTTCCAACTTGTATAATCAACTCGCAATTAAATGCTTTGGATAGTTATTAAATACATCTTGCATTTCTACTTCTTGGTAATTTTTATCAGTGGTTCTATTACGTATTTTCTTTATAAATATGTTAAAACATATTCCTTTTTAAGTACAGTGGTATGCTTGCTCTATTATGTTATTTTTGGAACATTAAAATTAATATGTAAAAAATGTAATCGAATTACACAATCTAGTAAGTTTTACATCTAGAAATCTTTACATCCTTATTCATATTGTTGTGGCCGTGGTGGTCCACCAAGGACTGAAATGCATTTCGCTAATAAGTCTCTTTTTGATACGATCTCGATTACTCAGTTCCACTGCAGTTTGATAAATCCTTGTATCTCAACTGACCGTCTATTGAGATAATTAATGTTTTAGAGACAAGCTTACAACTATTACATTAATCTCATCGCAATGACAAGATATGTTTATTAGAGAAAGTCAAATGATGTAGCATATTTGTTTATTGAGGCATTCCGTTTCCAAAGCTATTCTTTCAATAATACCATAAATAAATAAATGAAATACTTAGGACCTTCCTTAGATGAGTAACCAAATGTGGTGGTGCATTTATATAATTTCAGTTCAAACAAAGATATGTGTAATGCAGAAATAGAGTAAATCACAATTGAGAGGAATATCAAGACAAAGCTGGTGAGGAAAGATGCAGGGCACAGGACTAAATAGATAATAGAACATAATGAAGACCACAAGCCTAAAGGCCCAAAAATGCAAACGAGTGTGTAAATTTGTTTCTACAAGAGGAAATTCATTTGTGTACACACACATGCAACTTCTAACATTAGTACTCAACATCTGCAAGATATATTAAAAAAATTTCATACAACAAATTTTTAATCAGTTTGTTATTCAAAAGCAATTATCGTTTCAATATTTTTAATACAAATTGATACAACTTTGTTAGTTTTATAATAAAATGACATTTCGAATGAAAATTATTCACCTATCTTTCTCGAAACACGCATTATTCCCACAACTCCAATATTATTCTAAATTATCTTCACCCAAACTGTTCATTGAAAGAACACCGAATTAAAAAATAAAAGTTACATTTTAATCTTCCTACAGCTTAAAATTGAGGTCTCAATGGCAAAATATTGAGACAAACATTGATAATTAATCTCTCTCATATTTCCTCCTTTAATTTTAGATCTTTTCAGAGTCTACATATGGAGAAGTTTATCTGGGATGGGAACAGATAAACTGCTCCATAAAAATTTGAACCAATCTAGACTCAAGATTGATCTCCAGAGTTAATCTGGTGATTTCATCATCAAGGAAAACAAAGATTTTGCACCATTCACTTCGTACCTTCATCTTATCCATCTACTAGAGGAAAATCAAACTACGCTAGAAACATTTTTAAAGTGTTAAGATATCATCTCGAAAACTTTACAACGTGCAAAGTACATGCCGAAAATAAAGTTATCGATCCAATCTTCCCAAAATATCATTTAAAATATGTATAAGGAGTAGTAAAAATTTTATTTACTAAAAACGTGTGTGATGAATCTTGTGTTCAAACACATCAATAAAATACACTCACTCCAGTTCTGTTTCATTTTATTTTATCATCCTGGATAAGTTTTACACAGGCATTTGCAAAATATAAAAAAAATTTATCGATTGCTCTTGGCCACACGTTCCAGTTCGTCCTTCTTCTTGATGGCGTAACTGTTAGAAGAACCCTACAAAAATAATATAAATTGTTACTATTCTAAAATGACCCCATTTAAGAATAGAAAATTTATTATATATTACTACTTTCAATAATTAACTTGATTTGACGCTTCGGTAGTTTTACCTTTGCGGCATTAATTAGTTCGTCTGCTAAACATTCTGCAATTGTTTTAATGTTCCTGAAGGATGCTTCGCGGGCTCCTGTACACAGCAGCCAGATTGCCTGATTTACGCGTCTCAGAGGGGAGACGTCTACGGCCTGTCGACGCACGGTGCCGGCTCTTCCTATACGCGTCGAATCTTCACGTGGTCCGCTATTAATTATGGCATTCACGACAACTTGGAGCGGATTCTATACGATTTCAAAGTGAAAATTAAAACAAGATTGTCGAAACAATCATAAAATACAATTGCACTTACTTCGGCAGTCAGCAGGTGGATGATTTCAAATGCATGTTTCACGATTCTCACGGCAACCAGTTTTTTTCCATTATTACGCCCGTGCATCATCATAGAATTAGTCAGACGCTCCACGATCGGGCACTGGGCCTTACGGAAACGTTTGGTCGCATACCTTCCGGCAGAGTGAGGTAAATATCTAGCATATTTTTCTTTGACGGCAATATAATCCTGCAAAGACATTTATAAAATTTGTTTCGAAATCCTAAACGTTACGGAAATAAGCAAAAAATAACAATTACCGTTAAACTTATATCGCTGACTTGAACGTCGCTCGAGCTCCATCTGCCAAATAATTTTATTTCGGGCTGTTCTTGAATTACTGGACCTGAAGCAGGTTCATCCCACGAATCAGTCATGACTAATAAAAATATAATACAATATATATTATTATGGTATAATTCAGGAAGATAATTAGAAAAGCTGATCAACTGCTATTTTATCGAGAAAATTAAACATGCTAATTAATATAACAGGAAGCAGATAATTCAACTTCTCAAAAGTGGGTATATCTTCTGGCTAGGCTAACTAGCTACATCATCAGGCTGAGTTAGCCTGACAATGCCTGTTAAATTAAACACTGATGTAAACATTTGCTTTCTTCCCGCTGGATTTTAGTTATACGTGCAGTGTTTATTAACGAGACAGATAATCTTGTAATGTAAACAAAGAATTTATAAACAACTTATGGATGCTTTAATGGTTGTTGGGACTAGGGTCCTTCTGGTATGCCTCCATCAGCAAGTCAGCTAACATTGTTCTCTCTCTTAGACAGGAGAGGACAGTTGCCACAGCATAAGTGCTGTCATTGCTCCAAGAGGCAGAAATATGTTTGAATCAGCACTCCCTATGTGGAATGACCATCTCAAATTGGGCAAATGGTAATTACAAAGTTCAGGAATGGGCACTATAAATATAAGCAGGATTCAAAATTAGCAATTGTCTGATTGTCCCAAGCAAACATGACTATCAAATGTACGTTCAAAGTTGTCCGGTAGGCAATCTCGTTTATTTTCTCATTCTTTTTCTTACCTTTTTCATATTTTGTGCATATTTAATCTCATTAAATAATAATAAGTACATTTTTAGTAGTAATAACAAAACAAAACCTAAAGTACGACATTAAACTGAATAAGGAAATTAATTGTTTGTTTAAAAGATTAAAAATTACAATATTAACAATTAAGTATTAGTCTATTGGAAACTTTTGTGTTGACAAAGCAGAGTACGCAACATCCCATAACAAGGTAATGTCTGGCACGGTGGTCTTTTCTTTCGTGTAGTCAGAACGATAAGATTGCACTCGGTACAACTGTCCCCATTTTAGGGGAGATGGGGTGACATTAGGGTTGCCATCTGGTCGGTATTGGGTCGGCTTGACTGGCAATTTCAAAAAAACCAATGTTATACAAAAACAAAATAAATAAATAAATAAAACTGAACTTAGACTGTATAGCTCCAATTCCTACTTTCTTATCCACTAGGCTATTGCCATTACAAAGAGAAATAAAACTTCTAAAAACTCAATTTTCAGAGGTCATTATCTGGAAATGCCCAAAATATGGGTCCTTATTTAGACAAGCTGTTTGTGTTTAGGGCTATGCACTTGCCAAGTTTCTTTCAAATTGGAGACCCGAACATCTGACAGTCTCCTTGTAAGTAAAATTACTGTAATTGTTCATGCTAGTTTACTGCCATTTTGAGATTTTTTTTTTTTTACAAGTGTTTGATGTGGTCACCATTGGTGATACAGAAGAAACCAAAGACAGTAGTTTAGTTCTGTCTAAACACATTCCAAAATATCCTTTGATATCAATTCCTGTTTACAGAGATGCACTGTTCTCAGTTCATCCAAGTGTTGTGGAATTGATATCAGAAAGATATGCTGGGCAAGTTTGGACAGAACTGGACTATCATCTGTGACATCTGCCATGTTATAAACAGTGCCCACATCAAACACTTGTAATGCGTATGTGAAACTTCGTGTGGAGTTCTGTCTTTTTATATCATTACTATTGCTGTATGTTATTTTAGGTATGAATAAATCAGCTTTACTTTTACACCATCCTTTTTAATAATTCAGTATGAGAACTAAGTAGGTCAAGGAATCCAGTGTTTTTGGTGCTGGGCTGTGTGAAAACTGAATTATGATGACTGACAGAGCAAGAGCGAGTGATGACGACATCAAAGCATGTGTGGCTTTGCCAATGTAGGACCACATCAGAAGGTAGGGAGGAAAAAAAATGTGTACTTTAGCTATTTTGGCAGAATAACTATATTCTTTGTCTTCACGTTTGTCCCCACATGTAGGAACAAATGTGCAGACGAAGAATATGTCCGACAAATAATGGTCGTGTGTGGTAGCACCATCTGTTATCAGATTTCATTTACAAATTTTAGTTATTTGCTAATTTTTAAAAATGTTTGCAAACTATTAAAAAATGTACTGTCATTGGTAATACACGTGTGTGCAAAGTTTCAACTGGATTGGAAATTGGGAAGTAGATGAATTACAACTTTTTACCAAGACAGATGGACAGAGTAAGTTAATTAATAAAAAGCTTTAAAAAGACTGAGGACTTTTTATCTCAGGAAAAGAAAAAATTATGTGGAACAGATCCAACTTTTCTTGACACTAATATTAAATATATTCAAGGTGTATGATAAAATAGTTTTAAATTGTCCAATAGCTGGATAGGTAAAGCAATAAAAGTGTAAGTCTGCCATTCTGATGTCCGATTGAGAACCTATAAATTTTTCACCGGTAGCCTGGTCACACCCACGACAAGTATGATTTTAGGAAGCCATCTTATTGCCATAGGACAGAAAAGAGTTAATAAAAATAACAAAAATGCATGTCTCCATATAACTAACCAAATACTGGTTTGTCCAGCTACTTTTTATATAACTTCCACAAAACAATGCATAAGGATAACTATATAAACAATGTGCCGTTTTCGAAGTAGAAGACTCATTTTTGCAAGGTAGTGAAGTGTATGTAGGTTCATTATTTCACCCCAAAATGACACTTCAAAGATTCATCAATATAGAAAAAATTCAAAGCATTACTGTCTACAAGGAAAGTTGACAGAGGATGTTGAAGAGGTTTGCAGGATTGTGCAGTATGATGCAAGTCTTTGAAATGCCGCCCCTTAAATGTTTTTTTATGCCTCATCCTTATGGTGCCGCCTCTCTGCATCATAGCACGGCACAGCCCTGGAGGTTTGTATCACTCACTTCTAGTGGATTCCTGAAACAGAAGGCAACAATTAATGTGCTTCTGCAAATTAGTCGCCACTTCTGAAAGAAAAGTTTTGCAATACAATCCACAAAGGAAGACGAAGAAAACTGGCATCTTATTGCACAAAAATGTAAACCTGCATACAATTTAATAGACAACAAGGTGAACAAAACCAATTTCCAGTACAAAAATTATAAGAAAATGTTTTCAATTGTGTTAAATGGACATCTTCAGGCTAACTATGCATTAGCCTGAAGATACCCATTTAACACAGTTGAAAACATTTTCTTTCTCATAATTTTTGCACTGGAAATTGGTTTCATTCACTTTAAAGGTAAGTTCTTAAAGTCAAACAAGTTAAATGAAAACGTCATCATCATTATTCTTACTTTTGGTAGACATTTCGACCAATCGGTCTATAACAAAATGGCCATTTCTAAAATCGAAGACACAAACATTGCTAGTGCTGTCTTATCCAAAACATTTTTCTTAGCTTGCTTCAGATGGACAGATATTTCTATCATTTCACCTTTTAATCCACAATTTAAACACTCAAATAGATTTAGAAACATTGATATCGCCAGGCACCATTTTTTTAACAAAGTAAACTAATTCTTTCCTTCGCAAATTTCGTTTGAAACATCACTAACATTGAGCACGTGCATCAAATGGAATTTGTTCTCTGACTGACTCGTTAGTAACATGTTTAACTCGTTCGACTTTACGAATGTATCCTAAGTATAGCCAGTTCCACGTCACCAATAGACAACTTCTGTAACTACAAGTTGTATAGCCCTCGGCCATCGTTCTCCTGTCCAATTTAACTCGAAGCAATTTTTGTTTGGACTGTTAAAAAAAACCAAAGAAGAAAGAAATTTACAGCTTAGTCTAGCAAAAATGTAAGGGGCAGTCAAATGAAAATGACAGATGGGGAAAAAAGTAAGTAAACTCTTTATTATTTCAAAAGTAATTGCCATAACTGTTAATACATTCATCCCACTGTGAGACAAGATGGTCAATGCCTTAGTGGAACAATGTTTGCAGTTGTTGACAGAACCATGATTGTACCCAGGTGTGCATCTCTTCGTCCAAAGCAAATCGACAGCCACAAATGTCTTTCTTCAGGACTCTAAAAATATGGAAATCAATGGGGAGATCGGGACTGTATGGAGGATGTGTAAGGGCTTCCCAGAGAAACTTCTGCAGCATAGTCAAAACCACCTTGGCAACATGTGGGTGGGCATTATCCTGCAACGGAATGATGCCGTCCATCAACATTCCTGGGCGTTTGGACTTGATGGCGCACTTCAAGTTTCACTGTGAAGCCCTTACACATCCTCCATACAGTCCAGATCTCTCCCCATCGACTTCCATATTTTTAGAGCCCTGAAGAAAGACGTTTGTGGCCGTCAATTTGCTTCGGACGAAGAGATGCACGCCCGGGTACAATCATGGTTCCGTAGGCAACTGCAAACGTTATTCCACGAAGGCATTGACCATCTTGTCTCACAGTGGGATGAATGTATTAACAGTTATGGCAATTACTTTTGAAATAATAAAGGTTAAAGTTTACTTACTTTTTTCCCATCTGTCTCGTTTTCATTTGACTTCCCCTTATATATCCCAACACGGCTATAACGAGGAAAACTTTTTACAGTGCTAAAATTCAAGTTCTTTTAAGACAATATGGACGTAGTACATAAATGTCTTAGAAGAACTAGTACCTTGTAAAATATAATGTTTCAAGACTCAAAAGTATAAGATATGTTAAATTGTGACTTTTTTCCAAACTCCATCCCTTTATATACATATATAAAGGGATGGAGTTTGGATAAAGGGATGTAACATCTATACAGACAGACAGACAGACGAAATACAATAATATATTGAGTCTACATAGGTTAATTTTACAAATGAATTATTTAATATTAATTACTAGTAATTATAAAGTACGAGTGAAAACACTGTTTTCTTTTATTAATAGTTGGAATGTTAACCCATTATCTTCAATACGGGACATGTGGTTAGGCTTAACTAGAGTAAGATATTTACTATATATATTTATTATTATACCCTTATAACGACTGGCCTTTAAATATAAACTAAAGCATTGTATGTTATATTCATCTGGCGTGAGATTATTTGAAATTCTTCATAATTACCTTCCAGTTTGAATTATATTTCAGTTGCCTGGCTCCAGATAAAAATGTCTTCCTAACGAAAAACGTGGACTAAGAGCGCACTCTATCGAGAATAAAGACGAAAATTAAGTGTTGCCAGCCATGAAACAAGCAATTTTATAAAATTTACTTTAAAAAATATATATATTAGTTTTATTATTAAAATAGGACATTTTCTAACTAAAACATTATTAAAATAAAAATGTTTCAAATATACTTTTATTAGATTATAATATGTAACTACTCCATTTTTTTTAAAACTCTTTCCGCCCTGTAGGCAGTAAGAAAACCTTTTTTAGCAAGCCCATTATGGGTTGGGCCAGACCCACAATGGGGCGACCGGGTGGTGAGGAACGGGGGTCGACACATTTAATCGAATCACCCTCCGAATAATTCCTGGGGAACATTTTTCGACCCGTCCGGATATGATCCCGAGTCTCCCAGAGCGGTAGGCTGCCACCTTGACCGCTCGGCAATTCGGCCATCAGCAATAATTTATTGTAACACTGTCGCAATGCCGGGCTGCAAAATTTGAAATGGAAAGCATATTTTTAATGTATTTAATTTAAAATATATGCTTTCCATTTCAAATTAGTACTGTAGTGTCTTGCAGCTGTACAGTACATCATACTTTCGCTTTAATTAAATTTGTATGACCATTTTTCAAATTAAAATTATAGAATTCTTGTATTAATTATTTAACAATCAATAATACTTTAAGTATTTAAATTCCTTTGAATATAATAGTTATACAGTAGAGCGTCATCCGAAAGAATTCCAGTCGGCAAATTTAAATTTTCGCCAGTACTGTGGCGCTTCAATCTTTGGCTATGTCTTGAGCTACTCAAATATTTTACGTTTTTGATACTAAATTAACATCTGAAGTATAATTTTTTATTATTTTTATATTTTTCAATATATTTATTTTGTTTGTACAAAATAAAAAAATAATTTTTAACGATACAATAGTCTTTGTTAGGCTTAACATCGATGAAAATTCAACGCGAAGCGACACGCAACGGAGAAAAATTTCGACATCGGATACGTTAAACTATTTTTTCGTACGTAAATCAGTTATCCGGACAACCCCAGTCCCCAATTGATTCGGAAAATCGACGCTCTACTGTATATGTTTTAAATAAGAATTTCCATACATTTCATAGTGGAAATTGTTTATCAATATGTGCCAGGAAAAAGTAATGTTGCATTTGTACTGTAATGTTTTCGTAGTAAACTATTTTTTTAATCCTTTTAACTTTTTGTTAAAATAATATTACCATATTAATGAATAACTATTTCTAGATGCCTCGTATGTGCTGTATGCCCAGTTGCATAGAAAAATATATATCCATTGTCTATATTTAAGTTTTCACGTGATTTGATTTGAAAAGCAAACCAATGGATTAGTGAATTTGTAGAAAAAAAATAACTTATTACAGTAGAACCTCGAAAACTCGGCCTAATGTGGACCGAAGGGTGGCCGAGTTTGTGAAAATGCCGGGTTATCGGGAATGGGGTTCAAAAAAATAAGTATGCGTGTTTCCTCAGAAAATACTGTACTGTATTTGTATGTATTGTTTGCTGGAGAATACAACAGAGAATAAACTGCCCAAATACCCTTAAACAAAGGAAAAGNAATGTAAAAAAAAAAACTTAATTTGCAATTTATATTTGTTGTTTTTGATTATTTTATTATTAAAGTAAATGTACAAAAAAGCTTTAAAAAAATACAAAACAGATAAAAGTTACTTCTTGATGTTTAAAAATGTCTCGGCACTAAAATCTTTGATATCGCGTAACTTAATGTCTACCCGCTCTCACAACGACAACAACAATACAAAGTTTAGGCTGATCGATCAACATTTCCGATTTTAGTAGGTTGACGTCATTCGGCTGACCAATCAGCGCGTTGTGCCATCTGGATATTTAGTCGCACGTTAAACGACGCTCTATTGTAGAAACGTACTGTATGACTCACATAATCGGTAGTCTCGAGTTAGACCCATCAAGCGAACTCGAAAGGCGAGCGGAAATACGTCATACTCGCTTGGTTACGTATGTTGTTAAGCATGATGGGATTATTTACAATGCATCTGGGTTTGCGACTATACTGATTCGACCAATCAACTTGAGTGTAACAAGTTGTAAACAAAGCAATGTGAATTAGTACACTGTAACACGTGAATTTTACACGTGTTACAGTTAAAAGTTTTGTCTTACAGGAATACTAGTAGACCGGGACGCCCCCTAGTGGGCGTTCTTTACAAATTCCCATGAGGAATAATTCCTTTGACTTTTTTCTTCCTATCAATATGCTCTACAGCTCTGTTAAAGTTACAATCACGCCATGTGGATCTATATTTCTATCTATTAAACATTCTACAAAACTTTAAAATAGTTTAATTTGTTTATTACTTTCGGTTGTAAACCTCGATTTTAAATGTATCCGCCACTTTTTTCAACAAATTTCCCGTGAGTCAATGCGCAACGTTCACTGACTTGTGAGTCGCGGGATGTCGTAAACGTGAGGCGCAAAATTAATCAAGGCATATAATAATTATTTATACCATTCCGTGGTATAAACAATAAATTTATATCAATAATAAATTCCTATTACAAATAAAAATAATTTATTATTAATTTAAAATCATCGCTAGGGCGCCTCTAGTACCTATTTTTGGCATACCGTTACGCGGACGGACGGACACACGCGTTCAATGAGTTATATAGATAGATAGTACGCAGAAACAAAATGGAAATCCCAGTGGCGTACCGTGGGTGTCAGCCGCCCGGGGCGGAGGAAAATTTCGGTCCCCCCTTATTTAGATATTTCAATTTAAAAGACCAAAATTCAGTTATGTCACAGAACAAGCAATGAAAAATTCGGTGGTATTGCAGCGACCTGTTTAAAACAGTTCTATTGGATATTAGCAGTGGCGTGCCGTGACATTTGATGATAGGGAAGCTGTGTTTCTGTAGAAAGCCGACTTCCAGGGGCAATCAGTCAGCGATGGTCTAGGGCAGTGTTCCGCAACCTTTTTCTACTTGCGGCACACCCATGACCACAACAAGGAACACGAAAATGTTATTCCCTGAAAAACGTATATGATACTATGAATAGAATTACGTAATGCCACTAACCTATTATTACTATTATTAAACAGATGTCAACACCTGTGAGCAAATTTATTATACATATAATTTCTTAGAATACATAAAAATGCGTGGCTTGTAATAAAGAATAAACAAACATCATCTTATTTCATCAGTGCTGCGGCATAGAATGAAATACAAGCGTAAGAAACACAACAACTGTGATGAAAAATATAAATAAAACTTGAAATTAACAGAATATGTAAAAGTTTACGTCATACCTTTCACCATGTGACGGCACACCGGTTGCGGAACACCGGTCTAGGGCAGTGTTTCTTAACAGGGGCCTAATGTAGACCGAAGGGTGGCCGAGTTTGTGAAAATGCCGGGTTATAGGGAATGGGGTTAAAAAAGGATAAGTATGCGTGCTTCCTCAGAAAATATTGTACTGTACTTGTATGTATTGTTTGCTTGAGAATACAACAGAGAATAAACTGCCCAAATACCCTTAAACAAAGGAAAAGTACGTCCTTTATGAAGGCATAGAGCCTTTACTACATGAAAATGAAAATTAATGAATACACTGTGTACAGTAATTTACCTGATAAGACAGACCTCAGAAA